AGAAAGAATAAAGGCATCTTCACTAAAGAAATCGTTTAAGGTTAGTACATTTTCTTGCAAAAGTGCACAACTGTTGAAAACACAACTCGACTGAGTCAAGTCAATACTAGACGGGGTACTCTGCGTGCTACCCTGGGTTTCCTTGGCATGTTGCAATATGTTCTGCTCCACAAAATAGTATTGATACTAGACGGGGTGCTCTGCGCGCCATCCCGGGTTTTCTCATTATGCCCTCAACCGTTTAAGAATATAATTTTTTTATTTTATATTTAACTAATTGCGCCATATTTTTTGACTCTCGATTTTGACTCAATAATGGAAAAATATCAGTTAACTAAGCTTATTGTTTTGAAAGAAAATGAAGAGGTTGAAGAGGTGAGTTCGATATTATAACATTAACTAGTGTTTGAAACCGTTTAATTTTTAACTGGTTAACTAGTCATTTAGTTAATTTGTTAGTTAACTGGTTAAATTATGCAATCATGTAATCATTATAAAATCTGCGAATCAAAATTGTGTAAGATGGATAATCCTTTTTTTCTCTTTATATTAAAACGAAACTCAAAAATATAACAATGCTAAATAGTCTGTCTATTCCAATTAGAAATTACTACCTAAGGAGTTTTAAAATTGCAATTTTTGAGATTGTGTTTATACTATAAAAAGTCACTAATCAATTTCAAAAAAAATTTTTTTCTTGCACTATACATAAACGTATCATATAAATCAGAATTTTCTATATTATATACTATATCCCAATCTTCCACATCCAGGTTTGCTGCGGAATATAATAATTTGAAACGGGACAATAGGTGGTTCTGTTAACATTCCATTTGAACCTAATACCACGTCTATATATAAGTGATCTTCCTATAAATTACCAACTAGCTGTTGAACTTTAGATTTGCAGGGTGAGAGCGGGTTTATATAGCTGAGATGCATTCTGGGATAAAATGGTCACGTAAGTTATCTGTTCCACGGACGTAGGGTATTATGTTAAAGTGAAGGGGAAATCACATTTTTTGATGATTGTGTGGGTATCTGAGTGATTTTATAGCTAGATAAGAAATTGGCGTCATTCTGTTATCGCCATTATCCACAGGTTCCTGATAGTGTATGGACTATGGAGATGGTATCAGCGTCACTTGAACCTGATTTGCTTCCTCTCCACAGCCTCCCTTCCCCAAGGCATTTTTTGGATACTTATCAATCCTATTTACACAACTTTTTAAGTAAGAGGGCTTTTCAACTATCCCACTTTCATTCGTGTTTTTGAGTTGTACTTCGAACAAGGTTTTTAACATGTTCCTACAATCCATGATATCAACAAACTTACTTTTCTTTGTAAAATTTCGGGTGCTTCAATGCATTTCTGCATGTGCATTTACCTCGAGAAGAAAATTAAAAATCGCATGTATCCATTAAATGTATAGTAGCAGCTTGCGGAAGGCAATACAAGACGGTACTATATGCAAAAAGAATTTCATAAGCTATTTTCATGCAACTTGAAGCTTAGTAATGTTAATAGCTGCCTTTCTGCATATGCTACGAAAATCAGTATCCGGATATTGATTGAAATCTATGTAAGGTCTGTGAAAAGATATAGCTACCGCATTTGATTCATATAGGCAGTATAAAACTTAGTGACGTAGCTATTTCTGGATAAAAAAAACTAGTACTGTACCGTACCTATATTAGAAATGCTATTAATTTATATAACCCGGATATTCTTTTTCAATTCCGATTTAAATAAAAAAATCCGAATTTCGATACCTTTATCAAAAAAGAATAAGTTATTCTTTAATATCCGAATATATCCGAATTTTATAAATTGGATCCAAGCCCTAGCACAACTATCATCAGTGCCTCGGACTATAAAAAACATAGTCAAAAGTCTGAAAATTAATATTTATTTCTGAATCCTAAAGATATTATTAACCTACAAAGAAATAATTACTCGTATAATATAAAAAAATAAAATATTTTTATATTTTTAAATTATACTGTATTATATCTAGTATTATATGTATTTTGCTGTTTATTCATAGGTTCGCACCTAGAATTTTAAAAAAAAAAATCTTTAAAATTATAAAATTTTTTTTAAAAAAATCTCAATTAATAATAAACTTTATATAATAAATAAATTTTTAATTAATTAAAATAATATTTAACCAGTTAACCATTTAAATCACTTATTTAAACTGTTAATTAACTGGTTAAGGATTTTTTAGTCGGTTTCAAACACTAATATTAACTTACTGATCTTTCTCTTCTACAAATTATATGAACTTAATTATGAACTTAATTATGTAGTATGAGTACCAAAATACACTGAATACTCGCGTGAGAGGAGAGAAGAAAACTTTTCCAGTCAGCAACTAGAATCACAGAAACGAAATTGCGTGGATATTGATTTTATTCTCACATGTGCCATTTTTTTACACAGTAAATTTATCCTGTTTTTTTTTCTTTTATGATTTGGCTTTCTTGGAAATAATAATCCACAAAAAAGGAAACATGTAATTGAAGATATCGAGAAGAATCTGGTTTTATACCTAAACTAAGAAAGAAAATTTTGAACAAAAAGAATAGCTTTCAAGTAATTATACTGTAGTTACACCATCTTCCAAAAAGAACGCAACACCTGATCGGCGATCTTTAAATGCTAAAATTTTAAGGATAAATTAAATTATAATGAAATTTATACTATAGATAGAATATAAGTATGCTTAAATAATGTATAAATTAAAATAGATATTAAATTA